ATTAATAAAGTTAAGATTATTAATGAAATGAGTAGTTAAAAAAGGTTTGATTATTTACTATAAAATTAATTTTCTTTCATATTCTTCAAATGTAATTCTATCAAAAACAAATTTTTTTAATCTTTTTCTAGAATTTTTAACAAAATCGACAAATAAGATTAATGTAAAAATTATTAATTCCATATTCCGACATGTAAAAAATGTAATTTGTGATAAAAATAAAAAGTTCAATAAATATATCTAAAATTGGTGAATATATTTGATATAAAAATCAGAAAAGAAAACTTGTTCAATATGTATATTAACACAAGTCAAAATTCAAATATTAGACATTTAACAGGTACTTATTGGATACCTAACATATTTATAATATTGAGTACCTATTGAATATCTATTAAGAAAGAATAAACATATCAGGTATCTAATATGATTTATTATTACTAAGTACCTAATAATTAATTTTGTAAATTTTATCATGTGCCCAATATAATAGTAATTGATATGAGATAAATTTTATTATTATTTTGGGTCTCCAATATTGTCTTGAATATTGGGTGCATTATAATAAATAGTAATATCAAGTGAACAGTATTCTAATTATTTTATTTAGGTATATGATATTATTATTAATATCAGGTGCCTGAAAAAAAATTATTAATTTAGATACCCAATATTTTTTAATGATACTGTATATTGGATATAAAAATTTTTATATCATATCAGATATCTGATACTGCTGAAAATTAGGTTTATATGCTCATTGTATTAGATAATCTCTTTATTATTATTAAATAAAATAAATTAAATATTAAATCTTCTATTTAATAGAATTATTGAAACATAATTTTTTTTATTCTTATCTTTTATCTAATAGTTTATATTAATAGCTCAATCATATATTCTATACATTGCAATAATTGAATCTATACCTTCCTTATAGTATTCTTCTTTCCACAACTCTGTATTTGATATTTCAGGTGTCATAAATTTATACTTAAATCAAATATTAGAGGATGACGTATTTTTGTACTATTTAATATAGGTTAAAAGATATGTTCTTAATTCATTTGAAAAGGTAAGTATATATTCAAAGTAATATTATACCTTTCCAGAATAAATATTACTTGTTCTATTTTTAAAGACCTTATATTTTACTAAGATTATTATATTATTTTCATATTGGCCTGTGATTTTGAATTCAAATATTTCATTTCCTATTATTAATCTTGTATGTTGATTTATAATTACTTCCATACATGTCTTCACATCTTTTTTTTTTAAATTATATAATGTTACATAAACAGTTAGGATTGTTATAAGTTTTGCTCTGGTAGATGATACAAATTTTTTCATTTTACCATTAAATATATATCTTTTATTATTATTTTTTCTTACTATTACCTATTTATAACCCATGAACAATGTTGTTTTTGTTATATCCCATCATTTGTATCTTCTTTGAACATAAATTTATCTGTATATATCAAGAAAGTATTTTTCCCACTATAATTTATATGGATGTTGTCTAATTTAATTTTTATTTCATTATTAGACCAGAGATTTGTGTATTTTCAGTTATTAATCTCCTATTTTCAAAAGACTTGTTAATATTGAATTTCACAATTCAATATTATATATATAAAAGTATAAAATTATTGAATAATATATAAAATTGACAATTATATTTACATATAAAAATTTTTAATTTAATAACTAAATTATAAAAATGTTATTAATTAAAATTATAACTAAGAACAAAATACATCTACTAAGTAAATTTTAAACATAAATCTCACAAATTAAAGGAAAGAAAAACATTTAAATTTTAAATATCTATTTATAATTTAAATGTTTAGCTTTCCTTTAATTTGTGAAATTTAGATTTAAAAATTTTTTTAGTAGGTATATTTAATTCTTAATTATAATTTTACTTAATAATAATTTTGATATTTTACTAATAAAAAAGTAAAAATAATCAAATTTTTTTATATATTATCAAAAATTATATAAGAATTATCAAAAAATCAGATAGCTAATTTGTAAATTAGACAGTTGATTTTTAGATAATTCACAGATCAGATGGTTGATTTAGTTAATTTTTTAACTTGAATTGTTAAAAATTTTTTTAATTTTTAATTATTAGACTAGTGTATAATACAAAAATCAAATTACTTAATTAAAGTATATTTTTTTTTCTAAAAATTTATTCTGTAATAATATAAATATTCAATTAATATTTATCACGAATTTTCTGTTAAAATATAAATATATTTATTATGTCCAATATATATATTAATTATTATTAAAAAAATATCTTATATTTTTCATTACTGTATTCTTGAATATTCTCTTAGAATTTATTTTTATTACTACAGAATTTTGTTGAGCTATTTAATATTGTCTATATTATAATTGATAATGTTTATACATCATTTTCATCAAATTATAACTCAAAACTTTATATTTTTTATTTAATTTTTTTTTTAATTTGGAAAGAATCAAGATTACTATATTCTTTTTGTTTTTCCCAGAAAAAATTTTATATAAAGTTATTAATTCAGATTTGTAAATAAGAAAAAGTTCATTTTACAAAATTGTATATTTATATATTAATCGTGTGTCTAATAAATATAACATATATAAAAATATTGTAGATTATATTTACTTTGATTTTATCTTTTAAAGGTTTTATGTTTTTATTTTTATTTAAAAAGAAAGAGGAAGAAGTTGGTAATCACATTATTTTTCAGATGATAATGATGATGATGATGATAAATTGTTTTTTTTCTTTTTATTTTTTTATTTATGTTTTTCATTATTTCATAATAAAGTCAACTTAATTTTGTAAATTCTATTAAATATATAAGGTTATATTTTTTATTAATATTAATATAATATAAAAGTAATTAAAATAATTAATTTTACAGTTCTTTGTTATTTTGAATTTTTCACATCTTTTTTTAATGTTTTTATTGGGAGGTAATTGATTTTTTTTTTTTGATTTTTGTGAACTTTTAAATTTTGTTATATTTAAAAATTAAATTATTATATATAGTGTATTATGTCTTAACCTGACAAATTTTAGATCAACTTTAAAATATATATACTTTTGGAAAAATGTATTATTTAAAAAAAATACTACATAAAATTGATAGCTTGGATTTAGATCTTTCAATCTTATGTGATAAAATTTTGATTGAATCTTTTTTTAAAAAGTTATCAATGTTTAAAAAATGTAATACTCTATTAATATCTTATAGTAAAAAAATAAAATTGAAATATCTAATTTTTTATTTTTATTTTATTTTATTTTTTTTAATAAATAATATAATTAAATAAATAAATACTCCTGCATTCATTTCTTGTTATTTGTTTATTTCATTTATCCATCTGTAAAGTTCATTTTCCTGTTCAATTATTTTTTAAAAATCAATGTGGATCGCCAATATATAAATTTGACCTTTGTAATAGTATTGCAAAGTAAATTATAATATAGAAACTTATTCATCTTATTTTCACCATGATAATAATAACAACAACGACAATAATTGCAGAATGATGATTACAGGACAATAATGATAATAATAATTATGATGATAATTATAATGATGTGATGACAATAATTACGATGTGACCACCACTGCTACCCTATTATTACTGCAAGAAATAAATATCAAGAAAAAGCTTAATACATAAAAGACATATTATATTATTTTGTACAGATGTAATAAGATTTTTAAAATTTTTTACACTTCACATAAATTTTAATATGAAAACTTTTTTGCGTTTCGTACAAAATTTATTATAAAAATTTTTTTTTTGCGCTTTGTGCAAAATTTATTACATAAAGATCTACAACCAAAAATTGTCAAGTTAAGCAAAATTTTTATGACATATTCTCACCTTGGGTACTCATGGTAACTAAGGATATTTGTAATATACTATTCCGAGAAAAAAGTTCAAATCAAAAATAATTATTGAATATTTTCACCTAAGATAATAACACTACCAGATAGGGTAAGTATCTTTCTAACGAGGGGAAGATCTGTGACCAGCCTTGTTATCAGCAAGAAGGGTGTGAGAAAAGTGACAACGTGTTTCTTGTGAACAATGTGGTAGAGCAACTACTTCGGCGTATAGATTATGCAATTTACATACTGGGAAACATCATGCTAAAGCCTATTATTATCAAAAAAAGCTGGAGAAAATGGTACAGAACGGACAAACAATAAACACAAGAAAAAGTCATCCCTAAAAAAATTTGACCCTAGGAAAAAAAATATCTGGGGCGGAAGTAAGGCTAACAATTTAGCATTTTTTTGGATTCTAGAGCCTTTTCTCGGATAGTTGTCCCTAGTATCCTTAGTTGTCCTAGTAAAATCTCGAGTTTCTTACTTTTTATTTTTCATTATCTATGTATATATATATACATGTGTACACCCATAATCTACTATTATATAATGGGTATCATGAGTTAATATTTTTTCTTAGAATCTTATTTTTCTTAAGGACTAGGGACAAGAATAGGAAAAATAAATCAAACAGCTCCAGAGAGCCAAAGAGCCGGTCTTAGTATTGTCCCCAGTAAAATTTCAACTAGAGTCGAGCTAGGGACAATGTAGGTCAATACACTTTGATATAACGTACGTGTTTTTGAACATGAGCAAATCGGGCTTAATTGTATCTTTGAATATGGTATATTTTATTAAGTTCATACTATAATTAACTAAAGAAAGAATGATTAAGTGTTTAACATATTCAAATATAGAAATATAACTTCCATATTAAATGTATACTTGAGGCCTTAATACTATACAATAGATATTTTACTATCGATCTTGATATACCTTGAAAATTTTATTTACAATAAAAAAAAAATTCAAAAAATTTGGATAACTAATATTGTAGTTAGAACGGGATTTGGGATATTGGAATGGAATGGAGTTTTCCATAAAAGAGTATGAGTAATGAAATAGGTATATACTTGATATAGATAAAGTTTACGGAGAACAACTAGATTTTGGTTGACCAGTTACGCCAGCCCAAAACCATCCCTTAAGTTCATCATAATAATACCATGTGTCAGTAATGATAATATTATTATCTGCATCTCGAGGACCTTCTACACACTGACCAAAAGAACGTTGACTTGAAACAAAACTTTGACTTTGAGTCAAATAACTGTATTTATCATCCACAAAATCTACTAATTCTGCTTTCAAACATGGTTTTTGACGAACTCCACAATAAATTTCGGTATCTCCATCTGATGCACATAAACTAGATGTAACAGTGATTGTAACTTCTTTTGAAAATAATTCTGTTTTATAGTTATCACAATCTTGTCGTTTATTAATAGATGCAGAAAAGATCGGAATAGCGAAAAGTTTGTGTGTAAGACTGATTAAAAAAAGTCCAAAAATAATGACAAAAGATTTAAATCTAGCCATTATTAATATCGATTGATTTTTACTAAACTTTTAGAGAAATAGTATAAAGATAATTTTTCGCAAAATTGAAAAATATACTGTAAATCTCAAGATATTTAATTAAAATCACCAGGCTGATCATTACTATTACTATTCTGACATGTTATTCTAGTTTTTATGTGGCCTGACGGTAGAAATTAATCATTTCGGTCGTCATATATTTCAGGATGACGACACGACCACAAATTTGGCGTCACATTTTTTTGCGTGATATAACTCGAAAACTTATCGTCATTTGAGCAACGACACATATATAATCTCATTGTCATACCTGCCATAACCTAATTCAGACATTACCTTACAACGGAAATCAATCAGTCTGGTATATTTATATCACTAAAGGAATTATAATTAAATTGGGGGGGTCCCACCAGATGACGAAAACTTGTCGTCACTCGAGTGACGACACATACATGATTGACTCATCGTCACTAATTACAGTTAATTTAATATTAGTACACCCAGGAATTTCTTGACTGCCTATACTTAATAAAACTATAAAATTCATCATAAATTGGATTCCTATTCTTTTTCATTTGATTAGTGTATAAGCTTACTATAAGGATAACAATTCTCACAGGCTTAAGTCTGAATTTTTGAACTTATATTTGAATAAAACTTTATATCAAAATCTTATTTTTCCTATTGCATCAGTCAAGATTTTATAATTGAAAAAATTAAATCTGCAAAATTTTTTATTATTTATTAAGGTAAACACATAAATTACATAAGTTAAGAAAATTAAATAAAAATTGAATAAATATTCTAAGATATTAATAGTAAATTCTTAAAATATTAATAATCATCAAAAATAATACTTGAAAATTTAAAGGTATTGACGATTTTACTCTATTTGAACTGCTTACATCATTTGTTGCAAGAGGACCATCTTTAGTTCTAGTTTTGGATGTAGATGTAGATGTACTTGTAATTTTAGAAGAAGTAGTGGTTCTTGCACTTGGATTAGGAGTAGATTTTATAGTTGGTGTAATTACTGTAGCTGTTGTTTTACTAGTAGTACTAGTTGTCGTTGAAACCAAATAAAAAAAAAGAGAATATTGAAATGTATAATTATAGTTGGTTGTAGGATTTACAATAAGTAAACATAAAGGTGTAATAGTGGTTAAACTGCCAATTTGTGTGCAAGATTTTGTTTTATTTATACAAGAAAGTCCTGAAGCAAATACAAAATCCAGACCATTCAAATAATCTTGTAATCCGGTGGTATTAGTAACAATACCATAACAACCATCATCTGTACTTGTAGAATCTATAATCGAAGGATTTGGATTTTGAACAAGTGTGCCATTTGCATCTGATACAACACCAGTGTCGATTATTTCCCATGTAAATTCTAAAAATGGATTTAAGTAAATTAATATATTTATGTCACAAGAAATTATGTATATTTATATCAAAAAAAAAAAAAAAAGACTTAAACTTACCGATAGCATTTACCGGAATTGGACTACATATGTACCAGGAGTGATCTGAATTCAGAATGTTAACACCACTCATACCATTAATTGTTAAGACCTAAATAATAATATGTAACATTATAAATAAATAATATGAAAGAGAAATCTTTTTAGGAAAACCCGATAACACTTTAAATGTATACTTTACCTGAAAGGCCAAGAACGTTAAAGCGAAAATACAAGAATTTGATTTTTTTGTCATTTCTTTAAATTAATAAGGACATTAAAATATTTAAAGAATTTTTTTAAAAAAAAGAAAAAGGAAAATATAAGTTCAATTATATATTCTTTCTTCTCATTGAGATTTTAGCCAATTGTAAACTTTAACCGAAATTAGTTAAAGTTGTATCAGTTAATGCGTTTTGAATTCTCTCGTGCCACTACGAAACAATCAGATAATCGTTAAACAAATCTCATTTAGAAAATTAATTGTGTAAAAATAAGAATGCATTTGGTAATTAAAGGATTGCAATTAAAACGGATCACTTTTTAGAGATTTTCAAAACAATAAAGAAAAACTGTTTAAGGAAAAATGTAATCATGCCGTTATCATGCAAAACCGTCAATGAAAATCACGTGGATTTATAATTGTATATTCCAAGACCTTAATAAGGCTTTGATATCTTCTTGATCATTAATATTTTTATTAATATATTTTTTTTTCATAGTTTTCTTTATTAATGAAGATTCGAAGTTTCTCTATAAATAAATAAAATAAATAATAAAATATTTGTTTTCTTTATCAATAAAATAAACAATAAAATATTGTCAATAAATATTATTCTTTACGAGAAATAAGAATGAAAACAATATTTCTGAGAAATATTCTACCTATATTCTGATATTAGTTAACTGCGGTCTTTTTAATATTCAATCTAAGACTCATTTAACCTAAGCAAAAAAAAAAAATAATAATAATAAAAAAAACAATAAACACGTGCCCGTTAACCTTTTGACCAAATTTATAAAGTTCATTTTTTCTAATTAGGAGAATTAAATTAATTATTCAGTTATAGTAAACGCATATTAACAAGTGTGAAAACTCGTTATCATTGATTTACAATTTTGCCTTAGACATACACATCTCCCAAATTTTATTTATTTATCTCATTGGTTGAAAAATTATTGTAGGAGAGAGAACCAAAAGGTGGTAATACGAGTGATACAACAATAAAATGTAAATAATTAGTAAACACATTATTAGTATATTATTAATATTTCATCACATATTAAAAATTATCACGCCTCATGTAACAAAAACAAAACAAAACAGTATTTGAATTTTAATCTTATTTCGAGATTGATTCTTGGTTTTTTTTTCTTTATGGGTTTTTTGTTTTGACAATTCGTAATAATAAATGTCATACCCCATGAAAAAAAAAAGGTGGTGAAAAAAAAAATTGTGCATAAAATAAATAGTCAGCAAAACTTTAATTACAACTATTATTGTAATTTATAGGTTTATATTTTATTCATATTTCATATTTTCATATTTTAAGCCAGTACATTGCAAAACGTAATTTGCTTAACATAATCTTTTTTGAGCACAATTACTTCTTAACAATAGTAAGGTAGAAATATCATTTGACACGTGCCAAAGGGAAGAGGAGGCGATTCCAATAAAGGACAAATTGAAAACATTATTTTTTGAATACTCAAAATAATTCGAATAATCTATTCATTTACAAAAAAAAAATTAATAATACAAGATATTGTTTATAAATGAACGGATGAATGAATTAATGAATGAATGAATAAATAAATAAAACCATGAAAAAAAGAAATATTAATTTATTATTTATTTAGAATAGATTAAATAGAATAAAAGAAAAAAAAATTTTTATAACTTTAATTTTACGGAATTTACGGCAAGTTGGTAAAAAAAAATAACCACATCAAGTTTTAAAGATATATTGATGGGTTAATTAGAATTCCGACGCGCATACATTCAATTTTCTAAATTTATACATTTTTTACGTGAATTACATGCGATTAAAATTTTTTAATATAAACAATAAAACACAATTATATCTTTTATCGCGATTTTTTATACATATATATATATTTTTTTTTTATCATTTATTTGTTGTCGAGACTTTCGAATTTTAAAGATACCAACAACAATCCATCGAATTAATAATATTCTTGACTAATAAATAATAATAAATTATTATTTTTAATTGTGTTAGTAAGAATGTTGTGATAAATTTTATTTTTCTTCTTTGCATTCCTTATTGTTATTATTATTATTTGTCGCTCAATTATCTAACTCTTTCCCTATCCTATTACAATTTCTTTCTACGTAAAATTTTTTAATATTTCAATTCCTTTTTATATTCTTTATAATATTTATAACCTTTAGAATAATCTTTTATAATTTAGTTTACTTTATAATCTTTACTTTTCTAGGTTATTTATTATCTTCATACGCGTACAATTCACGCGACACGCATATGCATACACAGCATAGACAATTCTTTTAGAACAATTTTTTAGCCTGTAATAATAACAACAATAATAATAATAATAAACCAATAATTGAATAATATTTAAATAAATAAATAAAAAAATCATTTGAATAGAACAAACATTCTTTCTGCAATCGGTCAGGAAACATTAAGGAAATTTCTTTGGTTAAAATGTTTTTACAAATCAAAGTTACCGGTTATTCAGAGAAAATTCGTAAATGCACTTGAACATATATGTTGAACTGGCGTGTTGTTTAAAGTTTATTATTTTATGCTGTCACAATAATAGATTGATAAAAAAGAAACCAATTATTAAAAAATTTATGACTAAAAAAAAAAATCTTCATAATAAATAGCATTGCTTATGTAGTAAAGGTTAAAGTAGTATAAATAATATGTAGAACATACAACAACAGAAACAACAACAACAACTTATATAATTATTAAACTGTTATCAAACTGTAAAAACGGTAAGGAAAAGTAAGGCAAAGCATAAATAAAAAAATTTGAACGGATTTATTTCTATTTTAGGCTATGGCAATGAAATACATATTACTATATTAAAGAATCTGCAAATGAAAGAAATATTATTGTCATCTATATTATTATGATGATTATTTATAATTATTTATTATTATTATTATTATTATTATTATAGATGCAAACAAGAAAAAAAAATGAAATGAATGCGCATGTTATCGTCAAGTAAATACAGGATAAACAAAAAAAAAAGATGAATACAACAAGGGAGTAAAAAAAAAAGCGAGAGGTCTTAATAGTAATTATAGAAACAAGTTTTTTTTTTAAAAAAAAGAACTTAAATAACCAAGAAAAGAAAGTTAATTAGTTTGAAAATAGTATAAATGCTAGCATGTATGTACATATATATACATAGCATATATACAATTAATACAATTATTCTATCAGTGGGAAACTCGTTTTTACTATGCATATAAATATACAGTTTAATTTAATTATATTTGTAATTAATAATTATAAGTTTATATTTATATTTATAATTAAATATTTATTTATAATCATAATTATCATTTATTTATATTTATAATTATATTTATAGTAACGCTTAGCGTCAAGATTCTTAGAAACATTTTGTAAAATTCTTTTAAAAAAAAAAAATCATATATAAAAATCTTATTCCAAGATAACGATTATGTTATTATTATTTATTTATTATTATTGACTGATCATTTAAAAATTTGACAAGAATCTTAAATACTGTATTACCATCACCATTCTACAAATAAAATATTGAAGGAAACAAGATTTTGTGCATAAAATAATGTCACGTCGATTGGTGGAAGAAATATAAAAAAAGTATAATGGAATCATTGATTGTAACACTAATGGTAATAAAGAGAAGATAAAGAGAGGAAAGTCAATGAACAGTCATAAGCATATAATTAAAAATTATTTTATTTTATATGGCAATATTGATATGAATAAAAAAAAATAAATAAATAAATTAAATAAATTAAAAAGGTACTGTGGTATGTAAATAAATTCCCCCACATTGCATTTTATCATTATCATGTGAGAGTTTACAACTTTTCCTGATTTAACTAGTAATTATCAGGTAAGCTGAGACATGGGGATATTCTATATGCATAATTTTAGATATTTATTCAAATTATAAATATGAACTTACGAATAAGTTGCAGATAAATCGTATTTCTTAGACATCAGTTTCGGCCATTACATTTTATAGTTATAATCGTTGTATATTCTACTTATACCGAGGGACAACCTTCGCTGAAACACACAATTTAATATGGACTTTCTGGTTTTAATTTTTTTAGTAAATTTGATTTGAGTTTTTAATTTTGGTTTTAATTTTATTTACCAATTTTGTAATTAATTTTATTATTAAATTTATTATAAATTTATTATTAGTTTTATTAATTAGTTTTATTAATTAGATTATTAGATAAATTAGATAGTTTAATAAGTAAACTAAAAAAATAGGTATTGTAATTAAAATGCAAAACCCGAAATAGTTTTTTTATTTTGTCAAATTGTTCAAATTGTTAATTGAATTGAATTTTTTTATTATTAGAAGAAATCATTTCAATAAAATTATGTTAATAAATTATATATATAATATTCATTTTATTCAAAAACCATTCAAGTGTATTTTTGTAAATAACAAATGAATGAATGTAGATCAGAAAAGTTTCTATTATTATTACATGCCGTTGTCTTTTTTAATCAGATGATCAATGTCTATATTGAAAGAATGAAAATTAAGTTAATCAATCAACAACGTCGTCCCCATACAGTCCGTGCTTTTAAAATCCATATTTAATATAAAATCTAATGTAATATCTAATGTAATATCTAACTTAATAATCAAACATAATATATATTTGCACCCTTCTTTTCTCTCTCAAAAAAAAGCGTGTTGAATTAATATCTACAGTATACTAAATTATTATTATATTATTATATTATCTAGCGTTTAAACTATAATTATTTCATAATTATTATATAACTAATTACTATAAAACTATAACCATAAATCATAGTTAATATAACTTTATATAATAATAAATTGTAACAAACAATCTGTATCTAGATGTACAGTATGCAAATAAAAAAAAGGTTGCTTCATAAGAATTTAAATGATAAGCTTTGAGCATTAATCAATAAATCAATCAGAATCGATATCTTATCTATTCATTTATTGGTGTGTTACAAGTTTCTTAAAGCATTAAAA